ATCTTTGACAAAGGAGGCAAGAATATACAATGGATAAAAGACAGTCTCTTCACCAAATGCTTCTGGATAAAATAATTAGAAAGATCATTGCATACAACTAAAAATGATTAAAAAGTATAAATTTGGGAACCAAAAATATAGTATCTGAACTATAAAATTTACTAAATGGACCAGAAGCAGAATGCATTTACAAAGAGTAAGTGAATTTAACATAAATCAACATAGAGTACCTCATGTGAAACACACACAAAAAAATTTCTTTCAGAAAACTATGTCAGAGATTTTGCTATAATCAAGTCATTAAACATGTGCTTAATTGGTGTTACTGAAGAAGAGGTAAAAAATACTAGAGCCAAACAAATATAGAAGAGAAGGGCTGAAATTTTCCTAAATTTGATGAGTCAGACATTTATAATTCCAGTTTAGCTGAATATGTTAATATCACCACTTATTCATCAACCGTGTCCTATATTGGATAATAAATTATATATAGTATTCTAAGTATAAGGCCAAACTTGCCCAGAGGTAAGCTTACACATTTTTAATGTCTTAAATTGCTCTCCAGTTGAAATATATATACAATATAACTCAATGTCCAACATACAGATTAAGTTAATTTCAAACTAAACTGCACATTTAGTATATTAGATTGTCTTGTAATCTATAAGAACTATAAACTACCCTTTCTGGATTTAAATAAACAGAGATTTACACATCTTAGGAGAATTTTATGTTATGGTATATTGGAAAATCAATTTTGAGGTTCAGTCATATAATCTATCCATAATATGAATGTTCTTTCAATTTTCATTAGTGTCTTATTTCTTCCTGGTTTGTTACTGAGATTTTGGAACATGTTTGGAATTAAATGATTGCTCACTTTTAAAACTTTATAGGACAGATGCTAAATGCATGCATGCCAAGTTGCTTCAGTTGAGTCTGACTCTTTGCAATCCTGTGGACTCTTGCTTGCCAGGCTTCTCTGTCCATGGTGATTCTCCAGGCAAGAATATTGGAATGGGTTGCCACACCCTCCTCCAGGCGATCTTCCTGACCTAGGGATTGAATCTATGTCTCATATGTCCTGTATTGGTGAGCTGGTTCTTTACCACTACTGACACATAGGAAGCCCAGATGTTAAGGATCTTAAACCATGGACAGCTGGAGAATGAAAAACTCTTTCTCTGTAAGTCCAGGAAGCTAATTTTCCTTTTTTTATTGGTAAATTAGGTTTTCCTGTGTTGAGTACCAAATGAAACAGGTTAATTGAATTTGGTGTCCATTTTATGCTATTTTTCCTTACATGTACAACTAGTCTTATATGTAGGAAATACATACTCACTAGGATTGACTGAAGAAATAGAGATGCTCCAGTCCCACATCACTTCACATTACTTTAAGGGCAGAAGTACAGTGAGAAGAATGACAGGTTAACTTGATGGCACACTGTTCATTATTCCCATATTTTCTCTCTCTTTCACTCACACAAATACACACACACACACACACACACACTCATTCAAACACATGCAAAGTATCTATGAGGATTTATATTTTAAATCCTTACAAATTGTATATGATGCAACTTCACAGTAAATAAAAGGGAATATTAATTAATTAGCAACTTTACCAATTGAATGTGCATTCATGCTAAGTGATAAAGATGGCGACAAAATAGAAAGTGAAACCCTCTTCAGCAGACTAGAATTTCAAAATTTAAAGTAGAAACAACAGAATTTGATAAATTATATCTTCAATAAGCAGATTTTTGATTAAAATTTAAAGTTCCTTTGTATATAACTGCTGAAAATCAATATAGAAAATTTTGCATTAATTTTTTTTAATTAACAAAGCTTACATTATAATGAACTGTAACAGAAGGCTTTTATGTGTTTAAGACAACGTGTAATGTTTTAGGAGAATGCATTTTAGGGAAATGTGATAAGGTAACTATTATACTCAATAAAAAAGTGAATAAGATATTCATGTATCAATCTGAAAAATAAAATAGAAATATTTGTATATATATTTCAAAAGCAATAAATGCCTATTATTTGCTTGAGAATGGATCTAATAAAAGATGCACTATACTTTTATTTAAAAAATACATATTGAAAAATCTAAGTTTTAAAGACATTACTGAAAAGGAACTGCTTAATGTAGTTGGAGTGATATATGTTCTTGGATGGGAAGATATTACTGTAAATATAGAAATTATCTTCAAATTAATCTATTAATTGAACACAATTACAATTATATTCTTAAGCATAATATTTAAAAAATCTTAACAAATGTATTTTAAAATAATTTGGAGGAAATATAGACAAGATATTTGTAAAGGAGAAATGTAATAAGAGGACTTCCTTATCAGACAGTGAGCCTAATTTTAAATTTATAATAATTTTTAAATATGCTATTGAAGAGTTCAATAAACAAATGTATTATAAGTGCTTTAATGGCCTTATTTGATTTTATTTAAATCAGCATATGAAATTGAAACTTTGTATATGACAGAAGCAAAGTTAAAAATTAATGGGAAAATTAACTTTCTATTCTTTATATGGTACAATGTTATTATGAAAGAAAAAAATGTTTTCTTTAACATAAATATAATTTGTGGATCATAAAATGGCCTAAAATTAAAACAAAGCACAAAATATCAAATAGAAATACAGGAGACCATTAATATGACATCAATATGAATAAAGGTTAATTGAAGACATAAAATGCACAGAATTGAAATGTTAATAAATGAATATTTGCATTAAGAAAAGTCTATCTAAATACAGAAATTATAGTTTTGGATCAAGTAAAGAGTTTCATGTATGGAAATGGAAATATGGTTTGAGGGACAAGTAAAAAAAAGTTGTCTATTTTCTCCTTTGCTTATTTGTTTCACCTTTAAAATGCAAAGCCTTGAACCTGTGTTGATCAGGACCCACTAGAAAGGTTAAGATTGATATAATTTGCAAAAGAATGTTAAAACCATAAAAAAGGAGAAAACTCTGTGGAAAATTATAAATATTCATAATATACATTATTTTCACATAAAGTGTTTCAACAGATATAAGTATTTTTATACAGAAATGTTAAACTTTTCTTTAAACCTCATCTTTTGAAAAACTTTGATAGAACTATACTGATCCAATGCTGAGAACTGTACTGCTACAATACAGCCATATTTTATTGATCTCACTTTTTGAAATTAATTTTTTGGAAGTATTTACAGTTAGACATAGTAAATATATTTACCATTGATTCTGATTTATCTATTTGCTCATCATTTTGGAAACAAAAATTCATTTAGTAATAAATCCCGTCCTCTCTGTATAATACACTATGATTTCCATGCTTTGTATAAACAAGATTGTAGAAAATAATTTTGCTAAAAAATTTCTCACCTGTAGCCTTGATATAAGCTGCTATATTTGTGGAAAACCATATGAATGGAAAATAATTCTACCAAAATAAATACAATTGTGAAAGAGATACTAGTGTCTTAGCTTGAGTACTCCAGAAAAGAGAACCCAAACCAAAAATTTACTGACAACACTTCATTGATGAGTGTAAACCCTCAGAAATAAGAGAAGGAAAAATAGACGTGAGCCCAAGAACATGAAAAATACACACATATGTGTGTGTGTGTGTTTATATATATATATGTGTACATATATATATATATAAAATCAAAGAGATTATAGTAATAGAATTCAAGGCTTGAGGATTTTCCAAACCTTTACTTTTCTTTTTTAATTTGACTCTTTTTAAAAAAAATCAATTTTGTCTTTTGAGTACTTTAATGTAAATGTGTTTCTCTATTTTTTCTGAGTATTTGCACTTCCAGATTATATGGGACACTTCACATTATTAGAAAGTCCTTGGTCATTATTTTTATTTCTATCTTCGATGTCCCAGAGATGAGATTTAGTAATGTTCACAACCTTGACTACCTCTTTTAAGCCAAAGGTTAATGACAGTTCACTAAACAATCCAGAGCTAGTAAATCTCACAGATAGCAAATAATTTAGGTTCACAGACTGTGCGAATTTCAAAAGCTGATACATGATATCTTGGCCTTTTGATAGTAATTCAAAGTAATTACAAAGCTAAACATGATTTATTCACCCTGTGATTCATTGCTAATATACCTTAGTGTTAAACAATTAATATTAGAAATAAATATCATAAATAAGCATATGAATGTGAGCTATTCAACCACTAAGTACACAGATTTTTATCATAAATTAATTATTAGTGACAAGTGACCACATTCACATCTAAATGTATTTCAAATATTTATATAAACAACTGACATAATAACAGTCTTCTATTATAATTTCCTTATGGTTAAACCTAAGAGGTGCTGGTAAGTGATCATGTATGTTTAATATTTGTTGAGTGCTAGGATATTGGATCTGATTCTCATAGATATTATGAGATTTGATTCTCATATATCTCAAGAATCTCCATTTCGCAGATAAGAAATCAATGGCTCAGAAATATTAGTACATGGTCATTGTCAAAAGTCAGTTACCAGTTTTCCCAGCACCACTTGTTAAAGAGGTTGTCTTTTTTCCATTGTATATCCTTGCCTCCTTTGTCGAAGATAAGGTGTCCATAGGTTTGTGGATTTATCTCTGGGCTTTCTATTCTATTCCATTGATCTATATTTCTGTCTTTGTGACACACCAGTCAGGATGGCTGCTATCCAAAAGTCTACAAGCAATACATGCTGGAGGGAGTGTGGAGAAAAGGGAACCCTCTGACACTGTTGGTGGGAATGCAAACTAGTACAGCCACTATGGAGAACAGTGTGGAGATTTCTTAAAAANAGAAAAATAGTTTGAAGAAGAGAATGAGACCCCATTTTATAGATGAAGATACTGAGGTGCAAAGAGGTGAAGTCACCAGCTCAAGGTCATATATAGTAAATGGCAGAGCTGGGGTTTGAATCCAGGCAGCCTGTTTTTCAACTGTAATGTTAGACTGTAGTATTGTGTAGTGGTTATGTGAGCATGGGCAGGAGACCTTTTCAAGGCCAAGGCCAACAGGTAGCCCTTCTGACCACGCATTCTGGCCCTATACAGGTCAAGTCTGGCACCATCTTTGACAACTTCCTCATCACCAACGATGAGGCGTATGCTGAGGAGTTTGGCAACGAGACGTGGGGTGTTACAAAGGTGAGACCAAGGTCCAGCCTGGGTTTGGGGGTGGGCAGGGCGGGCAGGGGAATCCAGGCCTGAGGGGTGTGTATGTGGTTTGTACACAGGCAGCAGAAAAGCAAATGAAGGACAAGCAGGATGAAGAGCAGAGGCTAAAGGAAGAGGAGGAGGAGAAGAAAGGCAAGGAGGAGGAAGAGGCAGACAAAGATGATGAGGAGGACAAGGATGAGGATGAGGAGGATGAAGATGAGAAGGAAGAGGAGGAAGAAGAAGATGCTGCCGCTGGCCAGGCCAAGGATGAGCTGTAGGGGCCACCTCCGCTTCCAGGGCTGGACTGAGGCCTGAGCGCTCCTGCCGCAGAGCCGGCCGCGCCAAATAATGTCTCTATGAGACTGGAGAACTTTCATTTTTTTCCAGGCGGGTTCCAATTTGGGGTGGATTTTGTTTTTGGCTCCCCCCTCCCCCCCTTTTAAAATTTTTTTTTCATATTTTTTTTTTTTTACTGGCATTTTGTCTCTTGATTCTCCTGTAGCCCTCACCCCTGGCCTTCATCTATCTTGATTGACATCTTTGCTTGCTTCTGTCTCCTTCACTCCACATCCCTAAGTTCCCTTCCAGCTTGGGGACTCAGGGTGGGATGTGGTGTGGAGGAGAAGCCCAGGCCCAAAGTTCCATCTGTTCTCCTTCCTGGATCCCAGAGGGTGGGGTAGGAGAAGAGGGTGGCATCCCCCGCCCCCCAGCACTGAGGAAGAATGGGGCTCCTAAGGCCTTAGCTCTGATCCTTTCCCCTTTCTCCCTGCCCCCAGGACTGGGCCACTTTTGAGTGGGGCGGTGGGTTCTAGCTCAGCTCATGCTGAGAATGTAAGAGCTACAAACAAAATTTCTATTAAATTAAGTTTTGTGTCTTCAAAAAAAAAAAAAAAGGAAAAATACATTTAGCAAGTCATTTCAGAATAAAACAGTTGCTTAATTCTAAGTTTCAGGCTTCCAGTTGCTTGTCATAGCATTTAGTCACTTCACTGAAGATTGGCAGTTTCAAGCAGATCTGTATTCCAATTCCAATTCGGCAACTTATTGAACAACTTACTGGCCTTGTGAACACCTTGATTCATTTTTCTGAGATGTAACACTTGGTACTGTTATAAACATTAAATAAGAGGATTAAATGTTGAAATTATAATGAAGCTGAATTACAAACTAACTTTCTCCAAAATACAATGAAATGAACAAAATATTTTGTAAACACATTAAAAATATGATAGCACAAAGGAAAGGACAAAACATGTATATTATCTAGGGTGAAACGGATAACCAGCTCAGGTTGGGTACATGAGACAAGTGCTCGGGCCTGGTGCACTGGGAAGACCCAGAGGGATCGGGTGGAGAGGGAGGTGGGAGGGGGGACTGGGATGGGGAATACATGTAAATCCATGGCTAATTCATATCAATGTATGACAAAAACTACTGTAATGATGTAAAGTAATTAGCCTCCAACTAATAAAAAT